GGCGTCGAGGGGCCGGGACGGGCGGCGCGCGGGCGTCTAGGGGCCGGGACGGGCGGCGCGCGGGCGTCTAGGGGCCGGGACGGGCGGCGCGCGGGCGTCTAGGGGCCGGGCCGGGTGGCGCACGGGCGTCTAGGGGCCGGGACGGGCGGCGCGCGGGCGTCTAAGGGGCCGGGACGGGCGGCGCGCGGGCGTCTAAGGGCCGTGACGGGCGGCTAAAGGGGCCACTAGGGGCCAAGAGAGAGGGGAGCGCGACTCGGGTAGGGGCAGAGTGCGCTCCGGGCAGGAAAAAAAAAACGGTGGGCCCTAGGAACAGTTCCCACGAGGGAACCTGCTCGATACCATGATAAGAATGAAGAACGAGGATGAATGAACTATGAATAAGGTGAGTACATATAGAAAACCCTAATTGGGTTGTACCCCCTATGGGATACCCCACTAAAGCCTACACAACAGCATAAGCTATATAATGTTCTGACACCAGTCGATCAACACCTCAGTGACATCACCCTTGCTGCGCAAGGGGAAGACTGTGGTGTAACGCGAGTAGTCGTCAACCACCAGCAGGAAGTAGCGCTCGTGACCCTGTCCACGGACGCGGGCCGGGCCCCACACGTCCATGTGAAGCGTCTGCAGCGGGGCCTCTGTCGGAGGAAACTGGGAGGAGTGAGGGGCAGCCCGCTGCCGCCCCTCGACACAGGGGACGCAGGTAGGGCCAGGCCCCGGAGGAAGGGGAGGGAGGGACCGGGGAAGACCAGAGACAAGGACACGGGAGGCCATGCCTCGGAGACGAAGCAGGGAGGGGTGACCAAGGCGGTGGTGCCAGAGGAGAGTCTCGTGAGACAGAAGGCGACACGAACAGGGGGCAGACTCAGGACCAGACCTGGACGCTGCAGCAAACACCTGACCCGACGCAGCTACCTGACCAGACGCAGTGACTGGAGGAGACGCAGTGATCAGTGTGTACAGGCTCGACCCCGGCCGACGTGTAAACGTGGCCAGGTGTCGGCCTGTCCGAGCGTCCGTGCAGTGGGTCACCCGCTGACTCGCAGGAGTGAACTGGTGAACCCCCGCATCCTGTAGGTCAGCACCACTCACCAAGTTCGTAGAGAACGAGGGGAGGTAAAGACCAGACAGGGTGCCAGAGGGGGCCGCCGGACACGGGAGGACAGTGGAGAAGTGAGCAAGGACAGGACCCCCAGAGGGGTCTGCCAGAGAGACTGCAACTGGCCGGCCAAGCGGCGTGAGTCTGGTGCGGTCTCGAAAGAAGGAGCGAGAAGCCCCCGAGTCAAGGGTGAAGGTGTGGGAGGCCGAAGCCGACGCAGAACCTGAGAGAGCAGACTCACCAGCACCTGAGGGAGCAGACGCACGAGCACCTAGAGCAGCAGCCTCGCTAGCACCTAGAGCAGCAACCTCACCAGTACCTAGAGCAGCAGACTCAATGCCTGGGTCGGGCGGAAAACACCGGTAACAGTCACCCTCATCACTAATAGTCACAGTATACATGGCAGCAAGAATAGCATCAAAGTCAAGGTCAAAGACAGCTACACCCGCCCTAGACAGCTCACCCCAGCGGGGGATCTCAGTGGCCTCAGGGAACTGGTGACGCCAAGCGTCCGTCAGGCGGCCAAAGCAGCGCTGGGTGGAGTGCGGACCCCAGCACTGCTCACCCGCGCGGTCTCCGGTGCGTAGGACGTAGGTGCACGGACCAGTACCCCCACCCCGCTGGCGTGCAGCGTACCACTCACGGAGCTGCTGAGGGGGGGGGATGTCACGAGTGCGCTGCTGCTGCTGCTGCTGCTGCTGCTGCTGCTGCTGCTGGCGCTGACCACCACCGGAGCCGACCCTCTGCGCAGCGCCACCCCGACCAGCTCCACCTCCTCCGCCGCCGCCTCCTCCACCGCCGCCACCTCCGCTCCCACCGCCACCGCCGCCGCCGCCTCCGCCTCCACTGCCGCCACCGACACCTCCACCCCCGCCACCACCCCCACCGCCACCCCCACCCCCTCCACCGCCTCCACCGCCGCCTCCACCGCCCCCGCTAGCTCCTCCAGTGCCCCTGCCCCCCTTGCCCTTGCCAGGGCGGCGTCTCCCGCTAGGGGTAGACGCCGCACCGACCGACTCAAGCCCAACGAGGTCGGCCGCAGCAGCAGAGGCAACAGAGGGCAAAAGGGGGGAGGGGGAACACCCCTCAAAGATGGGGGTGCGAGGGTCACCACGAGAGGCTCCTACAGCTACTATGCTCTTTTCTGCTGCTAGGAGGTCCTTCTCGAGAAGGTCAACGGTGAGAGTGGTGGGGCAAACTGAGAGGAAGTGGTCCCTGACTACGCGAAGGGGGTCAGGGAGCCGGGTGACTATGTAGTAGAGGGTGATGTACATGGGGGGGGGGTTCTTGGCGCAGAACTCAGCAGGAAGCGCAGCGCGGTAGCGAGTGTCACTAGTGCGGAGGTGCGTAATGAGGTCAGCGACTGTGGGAAAGGCAGCAAGGTCAGGGAAGAGGTACGGTAGCATGAGGCGGCTCAGTGCAGCAGCTCGGCGGCGCCGGCGGCTCGGTGGTGACGGCGGGGCCGCGCGGGGAGCGGCGGCGGGGCCGGGTGGAGCGGCGCCGGTAGGGCCGAGGCGCACCGGCGGGTGCAGTCAGCGGCGGCAGCAGCTGCGGCCCCGAGGGAGGTGGTGGCGGCTGCTGCTGCAGGGACGGCGGCGGCCGCTGCTGTAGGGACTGCGGCGGCTGCTGCGGTAGGGGCGGCGACGGCGGGCCGGAGGGGGCGGCGACAGGGCCGCGAGAGGCCGCGAAGGGCGGCGAAGGGGCCGTGAAGGGCGGCGCGAGGGGCCGCGGAGGGCGGCGACGGGCCGTGATAGGGCGGCGCGAGGGGCCGCGGAGGGCGGCGACGGGCCGTAGGGGGCCGTGAGGGGCCGCGGGAGGGGCCGTAAGGGGCGTAAGGGGCCGCGCGAGGGGCCGTAAGTGACGGCGCGAGGGGCCGTAAGGGGCCGCTAAGGGCGGCGCGAGGGGCCGACGGGCGGCGGGAGGGGCCGTAAGGGGCCGTAAGGGCGGCGCGAGGGGCCGTAAGGGTGGCACGAGGGGCCGTAAGGGCGGCGCAAGGGGCCGTGAGAGGGGCCGCTAAGGGCGACGCGAAGGGGCCGTGAGGGGCCGTGAGAGGGCGCGACGGTAGGGAGGGCACACAGGGCGCGACTCGGGCAGGAGCGAAGCGCGCTCCGGGCAGGAAAAAAAATATTTCGTGGTGGGCCCTAGGAAGTGTTCCCACTAGGGAACCTGCTCGATACCATGAGAAGAAACGAGGAATGGAATGACTAAAGGAAAGTTGGGTACAAAAGCAAACTCTAGAAAATTGTACCCCATATGTGCTACCCCACTATAGCCTACAGTAGCTATGTCATATAAATCTGACATCACGATCGTATTTCTTGGTGCTCTGGTCTGTGGTGCTTGAGTCTGCTGCCTTTGTTGTTGGTGCGCAGAGGGACGAAAACCTTGGTGTTGAGGTTGGAAGTGACGAGCGTCTTGTCGGCCGACCCAGTTGTTATGGTGAGTGGAGTTTGGGTGGCGATATTTGGACCGGAACTTGCATCGGTCTGTTGGATGTTCGAAGACTTTGCACATTTTGCAATAATGGCGCCTTGGTTGTCGTCGCTCTTTACGGTTGTCGGCGTAGAAGGCGAGGCGCTCTCGGCCCGGCGAGGAGCTTGTCTTGCTCGAGTCCAAGTCTTGCTGTTCGGTAAGGAGTGCGGCGCATAGGGCAGCTTCTGAAATTGTGCCTCTCTGTCGGAGTAGCGCCTTGCAGGGCTTCCATTCAGGCCCGAGTCCATGGAGCATGATATTGACGAATATCTCCTCCGAGATCGCGCTTCCATGCTTCGTGATTTGATCATGGATGTTCCGACAGTGGTTAATGCACAAATTTGCTTTCTCCCCGTGCGTGCCTCATCTTGGTCTTCATGAGTTGTAGCAGGAGTCTGCTGGAGGAGACTGGGTTCTTCGGCTGATATACCTCAACGAGGTGCTTCCAGGCTTTCAAGGCTGGAGTGGTGCTCTCTTTATAGGAGCGGATGCCGAGCTGCTCCGCATGCGTCATGTTGCGTAGCAGCAAACCGTACGCCATGAGGGACTCGCAGTAGTACCGAGCCCGTGCGTCTTCAGTGTCTTCCACCGGTTTTGGATAGGAGTCGTCGAAGTAATGGTAGATCTGCGCTGTCTGTAGGAGGAGCTCTAGCTCAAAACTCTATGTATAGAAATCTTTACCATCAAACGCGGTGTTAGTCTTGATTTTTTAAACGCTGACGAAGCGTGCTTGCGCAGAGTTGATGACTTTCATCACTTGGACAGGGGATTGTTGGTGTTGACTTGTCTGTGTCGAGGGAGAAGGTGTGCGGGGCGGTGCTGTGGCCGATTGCAGCCGGCTGATCAGGTTTTGCTGGTTGCGAGGAGGTCCCCGCGTCGCCTTTCCGCAATGCTTGGATGGAGATCTTACTCCATGGTTGACAGTCGCGAAAACAACTGCTCGAGTGCAGCGGTGCTTATCGTGATTGGCCTTGTGGCTCCTTGCCTCAGATGCTGGACTTATCGTGCCGTATTGAGTTGCTTCTCATCTTCTAGGCACTTCCAGTCCCTTACGGCCTTACCTAGCCTAGGGGACTTGTGAAGGTAAAGATAGATTTCTAGGTGTTTTCTTGGGCTAAGTTGGGTTGTCCTGTAAAGGGTACATGTAAAAACATATGCCCCCTATATGCCCTTCACCACTACTCATTCATTCTCTCGTTTACACAAATTCTCAGGTCCTAAGTACATGCCGGTACCGACGTCAAGGTATGAATCTGATCAAAGCTAAGTACATACGTTTTGGTATGAATCTGAACTAAGCAGGTGTGCACCGAAATTTACCAGCTTGTCGTATGACTCCTCCGCTATGGGGTGCCAAAGAGTTGTTGTTTTGGGCGCTGAAGGTAAGATCCTCAAGCACAGGAGGAGTACCGTAGCAGTGGCGTGGTCAGATTGAGTGGAGATAGAGCCAGGGGAACGGAATGAGGTTGGCGATGGAGGAGAAGGGGGCGAGGAAGGTGTTGGGGTAGTACATGGCGACCTGCGCAGGGTCAGTCACGATGCCTGGCAGTGCCCACGCTATGCGCGGCCCCACTGACCCCGGCCCACTGTTGCCCTGCTCGATGTAAGTAGTAGTGTTGTACACTATACCATTCCAGTCCAGCCAGCCTGTTGTATTGATCTGAGGGAAGGGGAGGCCGCAGAAGCACCCGCAGAAGCACCCCCAGGACACAAACGGCAAGTGAAAAGTTGCGTCAAGGGGTCAGGACGTGCAACGATCGCGACATGGCAGAAAAAGGTGACTGTACAACGAAGACGAAAAGAGGAGGAGGGGAGAGACAGGCGTACCACGTTGCTAATTGTGGTGTTGATGACGGCTTCTCGCGCATAGGGCTTCCAGGGGCGGCCGAGGTACGTCTTGTTGACGAGGTCGCCTTTGATGACGGAGTTGAGGATCACGATGCCCGTGTTCTCCGTGTAGTTGGTTCGCCCTGACGCCGTGAGCGGCGCCTTGGAGTGGTTGCGGATGAGGAACGTGCAGTTGTCCAGCACGGCCGCACCGTTGCCAAATATAAAGTCCACCGACCCGTTCACGTAGCAGTTGCGGTAGTACTGCCGCCCGCCGTGCGTGTACAGTGTGTCCTGCCAGCCGATGAACTCGCACTCGTAGAAGGCTGCGTTGTCACCTGTCTGCCTGAACGCCACTGACTGGTTCCCAATCTTCCCTGCCGTGTTCTCAAAGCGAGTGCCGATGGCCGCAAAGCCACTCGCCTCCACAGCTGAGGGGGCAGAGGTGAAGGGGAAGGTGGAGGGGCGGAGTTGCACAGGTGGTGAGCACATCAAGAGAGGGAAATAAGAGGAAGGTGGAGGCACAGGTGGAAGAAGCACAAACAGCAACATGCAGAGCAGGTGGCGAGGCAGGAAGGAGAGGAGCGAGGGAGCGTGGGTCGTTGCCTACCAGCAGTGGCGGACTGGAAGGTGCCGACAGTGGCGTTGTCGTTCCACGAGATGATGGTGGATGCGGCACCGAGCCCCAGCAGCGTGACGTCCTTGCAGGTGGAGTTAACCAGCACCTTCTCACGGTACAAGCCCGGCCGGATGAACACCACATAGCGCCCAGTGAACCCCACCGGGTATGCATTAATCGCATCCTGCTCGCCCCAGGGGAGCATACACAGAAATATAAGGGCGAGGAGAGCACACAAGTGATTTGTGAGAGAATTCCCTTTCCTGCAAGCATACGCACACCCTCGCAACAACCACTCTCTCTCTCACGCACCTGTACGGCGAGGAAGTCCCCGGAACCATCCTGTGCCACTGTGACCGTGGGGGTGATGCGCGGTGCGGGCGGTGGGGGAGGCGGCGGAGGGGAGGGAGGCGGGGAGGGGGGCGGAGAGGGGGAGGGTGGGGGAGGGGAAGGGGGAGGAGGGGAGGGAGGGGGAGGTGAAGGGGGAGGGGGAGAAGGAGGAGGGGAAGGAGGGGGAGGCGAAGGGGGAGGGGGAGAAGGAGGAGGGGAGGGAGGGGGAGGCGAAGGGGGAGGGGGAGAAGGAGGAGGGGAGGGAGGCGGAGGCGAAGGGGGTGGGGGGAAAGGAGGAGGGGAGGGAGGGGGAGGCGAAGAGGGGGGGGGAGAGGGTGGCGAGGAGGGTGGTGTTGAAGGGTCGGTAGACTCGGAGTCAGAGGAGTTGTGTTTGTTGGTGGTGCCTCCGCCATGGGTGTTGTCGGGGATGGAGTTGTGGGGGTTGGCCACCGTGACAGCAGTGGCAGTGCCTGCGCCCGTGACGGTGGGGCCTCCACCACCGTTGGTCGCACCGGTGGCTTGCAGCAGGCGGCGGCGAGTGGGCGAGGGCGAAGGCACGGCAGCGGCAGCGCTGTCGTCGCCCGCTGCGATCATGGCCGCCATGTCCGCTGCTCGCCCCAGCGCCTCCATCACCGACGCACGAGCTTCCATCGCTGCCTCCTGCACGCACCAACACACGAGCCACCGCCACAGCCGTACGTGCAACATCATGAGTACGTTACAAGCATTTCAGGAAATTCAGATCACATTCCGGACCTCGTAACAAGTGACTTTAGAAAAAGTTTAGTGAAAAAGACGCACATTGATAGGCGAGTAAGGGATCGTCCACAGTCGTGAAGCGTTGCAACGCGGTCGCTTGTTACGAAGTTGGTTGTTCGTAACAAACTGGAATTCGAAAGTCTATCAATGGAAAAGCTTTTCAGGGCAATCTGAGTTAAAAAGCTAGCAGGGAGAGCGAGGGCAGCAGGACCATTGCAGCGAGATGTCATGCCATGCCGCCATGGCACGGCCGCACTGGTGCTGTGCGCAGGGAGCAGCAGTGGCAGCAGGGGCCCAGCGGGGAGGCCTTGACGCACCTGGAGCGCGTGGACGCACGGGTCCTGGGAGCTGCACGGCGCGAAGAGGTCGAAGCCCTCGGCGCAGTCGAGCGCGAGCGTGACGGCGTTGGAGAGATGGATGCGCGGCAGATTCACGTCCTCGCCGCCGCTCGATATCATCCCCGCTGCCTCCTCCACGCTCTCCGCCACCAACGCCATCTGCCACACCACACCACACCGCACACCACGCACGCGTTAATACCACTTAGTAGTACTATACACTATCATTATCATCATCTAGAGCAGAATATGGAACCATCAAGTCGGAACTGACAGTGGTCCTCTCACCTGATCCACTTGCACAATGCACTGTCATGTCTTAGAGCGGGGGCGCACACGAGCAGGGTCTGGACCTGCCTGGAGCAGAATGAAGCTGACGCTCTCACCTGGGTAACGCAACTGTGCGCCAGGACAGCCCAAGCCTCCACGTCTGTCGCATTCTCCAGCGCAGAAGCGTGCGAATGCGCCTCGGCCGCCTTGGTTTTTCCGGCCACCATGTGCGCCTGGGCTTCGCGCGACTTCAGCTGGAACTTGGCGGCCCGCCACACCACCAAGTCCCTCATGCGCACTCCCGACGTTGGCTCCGCGCGATTTCCGCCGCCGTGCGCCGCAGCGGCACCAGGCTGGTCGGTGGGCCCTTGGTTGGCGCCTGAGCCACCCGTGCCGGCGGGTGCATGGCTGCGGGCGGTGTCTGTGACATCATCTGCACCTGCGCCTGTGGGCCCTTGGTTCGTCTCTGGTCTACCTCCGCCGCTGGAGTTGACGGGTCCTTCGCCTGTGCCTGCGCCGCCAACGCCAGTGGCGTCAGTGGGTCCGCGGGCGCCGCCTGCCCCGGTGTCGGGGGGTCCTTGGTTGGCGCCTCCGCCGCCTGCGCTCCCAGTAGTAGGCTGGTTTGTCGCTCCGCCACCTCCCCCGCTTGTGGGTGCTTCGCCTGCGTTGGAGGGGGTTCCTTGGTCGCCGCCTGCGCCATCTGCGCCGGCGTCAGACGGTGCTTGGCCGGAGCCTGCGCCGCCAACGCCGCTGGCGCCAGTGGGTCCGTGAGCGACGCCTTCTGCGCCGTTTTCGGGAAGCCCTTGGTTAGCGGCCGCGCCTGCGCCGCCACCGGCGGTGCCACCCTGGTCTTTCGCTCCGTTTCCTCCACCATTGGCGGGTGCTTCGCCACCTGCGCTGTCTGCCGCGCCGCCTGCGCCGCCTTTCCCGACGCCTGCGCCGCCTCCGCCCGCGCCGGCCTGCTCGACCAGCCTGCGTTCCTCCTGCGTGGTCGCTCCGCCACCAAACCACGATTGCGGAAGGGCGAGCCGACCGAGGCTCTGAGGGGCTGTGAGGCGGCGGGAAGAGCGGAACATGACGGACGCGTCCGCTGCCGCTGGCAGCGCTGCCGGGCAGAGGAGAAGAGCCGCCACGGCCGCTACGAGTAGCGCCGTCGCATGATGGACGGTCATGGCTGACACGTGACCCCCTCGTTCGGCGTTGAGGAGTGGCGACAGCTGCTTGAGGAAGCGACGTTTGAAGTCTCTGCACGATATTGCGGTGAAAGCTCAACTCCATGGCTGAAGTTTCCACGGCTTTGTACTCGGAACGACTCGACCTCCGACTCTAGGAACGACTCATAGTGACCACCTGCAACCCATCGTTTCGTGAGTGCTACAGATTGGTTAGCCAGGAAACGGCGTTGTTCGATGCCGGCTTGTCGAAGCACGCGATGATCGCGATGTCAGCTGCTGCTAGATAAAGCAGCATCTTGGGAGGCTGGGTCCCATACGTTCGTATTTGCTCAAAACCCTACCCGACCTACGGTATCTCGATATCAATTTGACTGTTGTAAAACGTTGAACAACATTTCCGCGTAGTGCTGGTTGTCCGGCACGAAGGCTGTCAGGTGGTCACTTTAGGTTGCTGCTGCTGTGCCGACTAATAAGTGTCGCAGCGACATTTGAACTTACCGTGACGCCAGCTGCTCCCTTCACTCGTAGCCGTTGCAGTCTCACGACTCAAATCTCGAAATGATCACATTTATTGAAATATTGTAACTAAGCAAAACACTACATTGCACTATATTGTAACTAAGCAAAACACTGCTGCCTTCGTTCATTGTATTGTTTGATTTGATAGTGCAATTCTCGCTCGCTCGCTCAATTGCACTCGTAACACTTGGTATTCAGAGCCTACGATCTCTTCTCGGACCGTACCCACACCTTCGCTTCCCCACTATCGACTGGACGACGGGTAGCTGCACTGTGCGAAGTAGCGGTAACTGGGTCGAACTACCTCGCCAGCGGTCAACCGAGTCTTCGACGGTCCACGTCAACGCCATCATAATGAAACGGGCCGTCGCCGCTGGAGCTGACGTGTACGCGGTGGATATCGCATTGATAGGACAAGGAGAGCAGCCGAGCGATTTTCAGAAACTGCTGGCAGTCGTACCGCCCGAATTACAGGAACTACTGAATCAGTACCCGGGGATTTCTCCTGACGACTTGCCGGAGGGATTGCCACCTCAGCGAGCACACGACCACCGCATAGAACTAGAACCAGGGGCACAGCCCGACCGTACAGCGACAGTTCAAACTGACACAGCCCGAGCTCGACGAACTGAGGAAGCAGTTAGACTACCTGTTAGAGAAAAAAATCATCCGACCGAGCTCGTCACTGTTCGCCGCACCGATACTGTTCACATCGAAAAAAGACGGAGGGTTTCGCATGTGTATCGACTGCAGAGCACCGAACAGGGTAACAGTCAAGTCGCGATACCCCATTCCCCGCGCCGACGAACTGATAGATCAACTGCGAACAGCACTGGTCTTTTTGAAAATAGATTTACGGGGAGGTTACCATCAGATTCGAGTCGAACCATCGGACTGCGCCAAGACGGCATTTAGAACTAGGTACGGGTCATTCGAGTACACCGTGATGCCTTTCGGGCTGACCAACGCCCACACCGCCCATTCGAAGTAGTTACCGACGCAAGCGACATCACCATTGGAGCCGTACTGCTACAGGATTTCGGCAACTGCCTACAGCCCATCGCATACGAGTCACGAAAACTGCATCCGCCCGAGAAAAATTACCCGATACACGACCGCGAAATGCTCGCGATCGCGCACGCGTTCAAAGTGTGGCGCTGTTACTTGACCGGCGCAGACGTAACAGTACGGACAGACCACAAATCACTACAGTACCTCCGCGCACAGCCCCACCCCAACCCACCACAATTTCGATGGCTCGATTTTCTCGAGTCGAATTTCCATTACACGGTCACCTACAAGAAGGGGGCATCAAACATCGCCGACGCACTGACCCGCCCCACTGCCCAAATCCATGCCATACTGCTCGCCCAGACCAGCCCAATGCTTACTGGACTATTTACCCACGGATACCAAACAGACCCATTCTTGACCGGAGGAAACTCGCAGCAGTTCGCAACAGCAAAACGGGTTCATTAAGTAAAAGCCAACACCAATCGCATCTGGGTACCGGGCTACACTTTACTAAGAGAACTGTTACTACAGGAGGCACACGACGGGGTTACCTCAGGCCATTTCGGAGTAGAAAAAACACGGCAGCAATTGCAGCGGTATTGCTACTGGCCCGAAATGCTGACCGACGTGCAACGACACGTGGCATCGTGTCCCACCTGCCAGCTCATGAAGTCGTCACGACAGCGACCAGCAGGACAGTTGCAGCCGATACCACCCCCAGAGCGTGCCTGGCAGCAGGTGACAATGGACTTCGTCACGGGGTTACCGGCTGGAGCAAGTGGGAGTGACGAAGATGGCACATTTCGCAGCCTGCAAGAAATCAATCACAGCTGAAAAAACAGCCCGCCTCTTCATCGCAACCATCATTCGATTGCACGGGATACCAGCGGCGATCATCAGCGACCGCGACACGGAATTCACCAGCAAATTCTGGCGGAACCTGTGGCAGCAGTTCGGCACGCAACTACAGTTCAGCTCATCGTACCACCCCGAAACCGACGGACAGACAGAACGGACAAATCAGACCATGGAACAACTCATCCGAGCCACGTGCGACGACCCGACCACGTGGGAACAACAACTGCCACTCATCGAGTTCGCATACAACAACTCGCCATCCCCCACGACCCAACAGTCACCGTTCTACCTGAACTACAGACAAGACCCCACAGTACCCATGACCCCGAATCCCGACAACCCAGTACCACGTGCGCAACAATTCGCAGAAATATTACAGGCAGCACGGACCCGAGCAGCAGAAGCAATAAAAAAAAATCAAACGTCATCGCTAAGCGCAATGCCGACCGCCACCGCCGTCCCGTCACTTACCAACCCGACGACCTGGTATTACTCGACACTCAAAACCTCCGCCTACCCATCACTCCAAAACTCCGCCCCCGATATTGCGGGCCATATGATCACCCCCGTCACCGCCCACCTCCTCCTCCCTGCTGACTGGTACGTCAGCCCGTCGTTCCACGTCAGCCTGCTTCGCCCATATGTCCCATCCACCAGCCAACTGCCTTGTAACCGCCCCGCCAGCATGACACGACCACCGACAGAGCCAATCATCACGCCTGAAAAGATACTGAGCCACCGAGTTCGTGACCCATGGGGAGCCCGCAGGATCGAATTTCTGATCCGCTGGAAAGACCGCACGCCCACCGAAGACAACTGGGTTCCCCTGGATAGAATTGAGAACCACCCTGTCCTCACCGAATACCTGCGCAACCAAAACTTTCGAGATGTACACGCGCTCTCGTAAGGAGGGCCTCCTTGTGGGGAGGGGTAGTGTAAGGAAAATTCATTTTCCTTACTTCGCGCCCCTGCTTACCGCGTACATGACCATTCCCGCCATCGGCACCCAACAGTGAAACGTTATCCGCTCACGACACTCGCCTCGACTACGACTCCCGCCACTGTTCACGATGCGACCCAACCTCACGGTTCGGTTGGTAACCCGCGCTCCAGACCTCCGCCTCGACATTTCCCAACCTCGTCGCTAGGCCCGTAGCGCACCCCATTTTCTCGCGTTACCGTTACCACGCTAGCGTCGCTATATATTCTTCGCTCATGCCTTCGTTCATTGTATTGTTTGCTTCGATAGTGCAATTCTCGCTCGCTCACTCAATTGCACTCGTAACACCAGCCAAGCCGTGAGGTTGGGTCGTAATGTGAACAGTGGCGGGAATAGTGGTCGAGGCGAGTGTCGCGAGTGGTAACGGTTTACTGCTGGCGGGAACAGTTGTGTACGCGGTAAGCATGGGTGTGGATCTTAGAAAGTGAACACAACGGAATGATTGATTAGGAAAGGAGGTGGGTACAAATGCAAACCCTAACAACCTATACTCTCTAATGCATGCATCACTACAGCCTAGAACATACAAATATATATGTTTGACACACCCCCATAGGCTAAGTGAGGGATAGCAAGAGAGAGCAATAAACACACATGGTCACAAGACCAGTCAAGAGAAGCAACAAGACAACGCTCAGGGTGGACCTCAAGATCACCACACATTCTGAGCACAAGCAAACGGACACAAGGCCTGTTCAAGAATTCACAAATATATATAGATGCAAGGACAAGCAGAGCAAACAACAAGAAATAATGCTACAGCAACCTAGCACCAGAGTCAACAAGGCCTAATTGCAGACAGAACCTGTGGTGGTCACTAGGCGCGAGGGCCTTGGTGAAGATGTCTGCATTATTGGCCTCTGAGGCCACGAAGTCCAAGCGTGCCTGGCCGCATCGCTGCAACTCCCGCAGGAGAAAGTACCTCACGTCAATGTGCTTCACTCTGCTTTTCAGTTGAGGCTCTCGACACAGGAGGATCATGGCCTTGTTGTCAGCAAACAAGGTCGGTGCAGAGCGAGGCCGCTCACCAAAGTCGGCGAGCAAGAAAGTCAACCAGCGAAGCTCCTTCGCAGCCATGGCACCAGCGTAGATCTCTTCCTCTGCAATGGACGAAGCCAGAGACGACGATCGAGTAGACCTCCACGATACAACTCCAGCTCCCAAGTTGAAGCAATACCCCTGAGTGGATCTCCGTGTCTCCACGTCGTCGGCGCAGGAAGAGTCGCAGTGACCGGTCAGAACAACTAGCTGTCTCCCTCCAAGCACAAGCCCCATGCCTGATGTAGTCGCCAGGTACTTCGCCACCCTCACAGCAGCTGTTCAGTGAACAGGAAGGTGTCTTCTTGTCGCAACAAAGCGAGAGAGGACGCTGAGAGGAAAGGCGAGGTCCGGACGAGTACAAGTCATCAGGTACATGAGGCATCCCACAAGCTCTGCGTAGGGACCACTAGATTCAAAAGGCTCGTCGGGAAAAGGGTCGGTGAGTCTGTGGTCAACGGCAAGAGGAGTGGGCTGTGTGGTGGAGTGCTGAAGCTCGAACCGCTGAAGGACCTGCTGCACCATGTGTGACTATGGGAGTGTCATGGTGCGAGCGCCTCTGTCCCTG